AGAGGAAGTCACAGCTGCACTCAAACATTCAAACAGGAAGAGGAAGTTACAGCTGCACTCAAACATTCAAACAGGAAGAGGAAGTCACCGCTGCACTCAAATGTTTAAACAGGAAGAGGAAGTCACAGCTGCACTCAAACATTTTAACGGAGAGGAGGTCACCACTGCACTCAAATGTTTAAACAGGAAGAGGAAGTCACCACTGCACTCAAATGTTTAAACAGGAAGAGGAAGTCACCACTGCACTCAAACATTCAAACAGGAAGAGGAAGTCACAGCTGCGCTCAAACATTTTAACAGGGAGAGGAAGTCACTGCTGCACTCAAACATTCAAGGAGGAAGAGGAAGTCACAGCTGCACTCAAACATTCAAACAGGAAGAGGAAGTCACAGTAGCACTCAAACATTCAAACAGGAAGAGGAAGTCAGCTGCGCTCAAGCAGGAAGAAGACTGGATGAGTTTTTTTCTTCGTCTTTAAAAGAGGTTGTTTTCCGTCAGACCCTTGTGAAGTTTTAAAATTTTCTGATTTTTAACAAACAACAACTCAAGTTTGAAAGTCGACTTTCACAAATTTAGGTCAAAATCGATCAATCTTAACGTGACAGCCAGATAAAAACAGCTACGATTTAATTAATGCGTCTGCGTCCATCAACATGTCCAACGTCTTAACAAGCAGCAGGTCCATTTTAAATTCATGGGTTTCCACTTGAAGATGGACCATAAGACCAGTGCTTACCTACCTGCCCACTCTCCCAGGTCTGCTGCTCCGGACTGGACCTGGTCTAATCTCAGACGAGACCGGGCTTTTGGGGCAGCGGGGTGTCTTAGCATCCTCCTCTGCTGCTTTAAATCCTCACATAAAACTTTTTATTATTTGGCCTTTGTTACCGTTTAACATCTTGATTTTATAGTTTTATCATTTCTGTCTCGTTTTTATTCTTTCATAGTTTTTACTGGATGAGAGTTCACGTGTTTGTTGTGCAGCAGTTTGTTCCTTTGAGGAATCTTTATAATATATAATAATATATATATAGTTTTATAAATTAAACTGGATTGAATGAAATAGGGAATGATCTGAAGTTTGTCCTGGTTCTGTTAGTCCTGGTTCTGTTTGTCCTGGTTCTGTTAGTCCTGGTTCTGTTAGTCCTGGTTCTGTTTGTCCTGGTTCTGTTTGT